AACTTTTTCCCTATGCATGTGAGCATGAAATCACCAAAATTAACCTAATAATAGAAAGAAAAATAAAAATTAACTACATCAATTTAAACGCCAATCAATAGTTGTTAATTGTCATTAATCATTATGACAAATGTTAACTGTGATTTTCAGTTTATAATCATAAACAAGCCAACAATTTTTATAACAAACAAAAAGGCACACCTTATAAACATCTCCGACAATTCATCACAAAAATCAACCGAGGCTTTCTTTTCATTTCAACAAGTGTTCTTCCTTTTTTTGTTGCTTTTCTCAAATTCTAGGAAAATGGAATTTAGCTGCACCATTTGTGTTTCCATCTTTTCCTTTGTTTTTCAATTCTTCTCTTTCGATTCTGGAGATGTACTTGCCATACCACCACCATTTTCTATTAGTCAAGATGCTTTTTTGCAATATTTGTCATTGGGGAATATCACCATTGATTTACCAGCTCTTTATGCGTTTGGGGACTCTTTCATTGATCCTGGAAATAATAATTATTTGAAAACAGTTGCGAAGTCAAATTACAGTCCATATGGATTAGATTTTGACGGAAAGCCTACTGGTCGTCCTACTAATGGAAGAACCATGGTCGACTTCATTGGTATGGAAAAATAACTGAATTGTGCAGATCTTTTTATATTGATTATCATCAATTTGTGTAATCTTTTTTATCTTATTTATCTAGGCTTGCATCTCTTCTCATCTTGCATTCAATTCGATTCAATTTCCTTCGGCATTTGTTTAATTTTTATCAGGTTTGGTTAATTTTAATTAATTCTTCTTGAAAACTAAATAGGGTGGAACAATGGAAGCAGGAAGGATGATTATTAGAATCCTGATTCATGTCGAACCATTTCCATCCCGTTGAACAAGATGACAATACTAGTTAAAAAAAACCGTTACCGACTTATAATTATCATAAAAAATTTCATTTGTGCACACGTACACACAACTATTCAAACCCTTCATTCCAACATGTACTTGTCACACAGTAAAGCTTTTATTATTTTATTTTTTGTTGTTGTTAATAAGTATTACCACCAATAATAATGCAGCTCAAATAGCCGGCTTGCCATTCCCTCCTCCAGCGCTGGAAGTATCAGAGGCCAACAAGAAGAATAGTCGGACTGGCGTTAATTATGGATCTTCTTCCGGTGGCATTCTCCCTACTCCCCGTTCAGTTGATCAGCTCTTTGTGAGAAACTTTTTGCCTTAAGAATTTGTTTCTATAGAAAATATTGGTTAACCCAATGGTGTTCATGGCATCTCAATTCATCTGCTCTAATATTATAATAACAATGAATTAACTCTTAAATTGGATTATGATATTCAAATTACATAAACTCTTAATTTGGATGCCAACAAATAACTTTAAAAGAAGCTCCTCTCTAAGTTTCGATTGACACCTATTAATGATCACTGAACTAGAAAATCATCTATGAAGAAAGTTCGACTCACTTTTCAATTGACTAACATTTTTTATTTTGTAACTGTAGGGACATGTCTTAAGCATGGACGAACAAATAGCTTTGTTCGAGAATACAACAAAAGACTTGAAAGATCAATTTGACAGCGCAGAAAGCTTTAATCAATACATGTCAAAATCACTATTGTTTTTCCACATTGGAAGCAACGACTTAGGCATATTTTGGGAGTTCGAAAGACACTCCAACTATACTGTTGAGAAATATTCTCAATTTCTCATCGATGAATTATCGAAGCAGTTGCAGGTAAATCAC